CTGTGTCCCTACACCTCTGTCCTTCAGTGCCCTGTAATTCTGTCCTCAGTCCCCTCAGTGTCTCCAGTCCCTTCTGTGCTCCTACACCTCTATCCCCATTCCCTCCATCTCCAGCCCCAGCACTCCCAGCCTCCCCAGTCCTGCTGTTTCCAGTCTCCCCAGTTCCCCCATACCTTCATTCCAGACTCCTAGTCCCCCTGTCCCCAGTCCCTCATGTCCCCATACCTCTGTCTCCAGCCCTTCTGTCCCCTTCACTTGTCCCAACCTCCAGCCCCCCCAGTTCCCTATACCCCCATATTTCATCTCCAGCCCCCCCATCCCCCCAGGTACCCCCATTTCCCCCATACCTCCATCCCAGCTGCCCCAGTCCCTCCATCCTCAGTCCTGCATGTCCCCATAGCTCTGTCCCCATTGTCCCCATGCCTGGTGCCACCTGTCACACTGCTGTTGTAGGTAACGGTGCAGGCAGGTGCCACAAAAGCCACCACCCAAAGCCACTTCATGTCGGGGACACTCAGCAGAGCTGCCCAGTTCAAGGGACCTGTGGGGACAGGCAGAACAATCAAACCCCAGGTCAGGGGACAGCAGACACCATGGCCATAGGTCCTCAGGTGGTCCAGGGACATCACCCTAAAGCCAAGGTTTTCAACCCATCTCCGGGCTACCCCACAGTACTGTGCCTTAGTTTCTCCCCTGACCTTGCCCACACACTCTGGGGACAGGGGATGGTTTGTCATTGCAGTGACCAGATCCTGCTGCCAGGAAGGAGCAGGTGGAGGTGGGAGCGAAAGCCCACTGTGTTACTGGGCTTTCTCATGTGGACCTGCAGCTGTCCCTGTGGTCCCATGTCTGGGATCGGGATTTTGGGTCATTCCAGGCCTCAACCAGGGAGGAGGCCAGTGCAGTTCCCTGAGGAGGGCCTGTACCTCACAGAGACCCCTCAGAGCCTGGCCTGGAGTCTCAGCTGGGTTCCCCACTGCACCCAAGCCACCACAGAGACAGATCAATGACCTTGTCATTGCCCACTCTGGCTGTGGGCTGGCTCAGCCCGGAGAGGGAAGTGCCTGGCTTTCCCTGTATCAGGGACAAGGGACTCCCCACCATGACTCACACTCCTAGGATCCGAACACCCCCCCGGGCCCATGGGGAGCCCTGTACCCCTGGCATGCTCACCGCAGCAGGGCCAGGCTCTGGTGTGGGAAGCCACAGCCACAGCCGGCCTCAGCCCACTTTCTCGCTCAGGAAACGCCATCCCCTGTGGGGACCCAGCATGGCTCTGCAGGGATCCCCGTGCATGGGGCCTCTCCCAACCTTGGACCCGCAGGAAAACAGTTTCAGCTCTGGCTAAGGGGGTTTCAACCACACTACCTTCTTCATGGTCACCCACTCTCGTCTGAAGACACTGGGGCTGGAGGACATGATGGCACTGATTCCCTACCATCACCAGCTCCACCAACGTCCCCCACAGCCCTCTGTACTCCCAAAAAATGAGCTGAACCATTGGCGTGAGTATAAATACTTTATTGCTACTGTGCTGAGGTGGGGGGGGGGGGCTGGCACCCAGGGCTGGGTGGGCATGGGGGTGCATGTGCCCGTGCCAGGGTGCTGCCTGGGGAAGCAAAGGGGCACAGAGGGTGCCATCATGGGGCCTGGCCCCCCAGCAGTGTCACCGGCTGTGCCACCAACCCCTGCGACGCTGCCGTGCTGGCAGGGGCTCATCTGCTCTGCTCCTGCAGCCGCTGCATCCTCAGGATCTGGCACAGGAGCCTCTGCACGTCCTCATCCATGTGGCCCTGGGGTGGAGGGGACATTGGTGAGGACATCAGAGGGGACATCAGGGAGTGTCTGTGCATGGCCCAAGCACTTCTGCGTTGGCAGTCCCTGCATTCAGCCCCTCGCTGCCTCCCACACTGGGTGGGATCCCAGTGCCCATACTGGTGTCCCCAGTATCCCCCCAGCCACATCCCCACCTCACCTGCACTGCATAGAGCAGGTGGCTCCGGTACAGCATCACCACCTTGCTGTGCCGCATTTCTGTCTCCTGCAAGAGAGCGAGCAGGTTTGGGCATAGGGCCAGCAGGCTTGCGGAAGGCCAGAACCCCCCAGGCGATGGGCACAAGAACCCCGGTACCCAAGACTCCCTGGTACCCACCGCCAGCTTCTCCTCCAGTGCACGGATCCTGGCCTGGAGAGCAGCAGTGTCGGAGGGTGACTGTGGTGGCCCCCGGGACTCGGGGAGGGCATTCAGGGCTTCCTTCAGCCTGAAGACCTCCTTGGAGAGCTCGGTGATCTGCAACAGTGCCCAGAGGTTACTGGGACCCAGGGACCCCTCAGCCCCAACACCCATGGGGTCCACCCGTGGCCATGCACACTGTCATCGCAGGGTGGCCCCCACGCCTGGGCAGGGGCACAGCCGTGACTTTTCCCACTCTTCTGCCCCTGGTTTCAGTGTTGGCTTGGGGAGGACAAAACTGGGAATGAGCCAGGAGAGCGATAAGTCTGCACACAGGGCACATGCGTGTGTGCATGCTTGTGAGCGCACGTCCCCTGTGACCCGGCCAGCTCAGGAGCACCTGGGCCACCATTTCCCCTCCCCATCACCACCCC